AACAACACAAGTTTAAATTTAAGGCGAAATTGTTATATAAACCTTTAGCAAATTATATATACGGTAAGAAAGCATAATATTATTAACTTTCTTTCAGTACACTAAACAAGATTATCATGATGACCTCAGATCGCTCACCTAAAATCCATTTCGTGAATGGAAAGTGTGGGGGACATTTTGTGTCCAGGGGTATGACTCATACAACTTTCTACTAAATGCCAAATATCTAACATTAATGATATGCAAATTCAGGCAAGAAGATTTAAATGTGTTTTAAAAATTATTAAGAGGTCCAGGAGGCGGAGTCAATTTTAACCATTGGGCGGGGTCAGGTGTGACACTAGGGCTACATAGATGATTACAATACACGTTAAGATATCTTAGCTCCAGACCTTGTGCTTTGTAATATGAAACAAGAATACAAATTTTTTATATAGATTTTCCTGTATTAATCTATGTTAGATCATTTGACCAGTTTTGTCCTAGAAGTCATGATTTAACAAAATTTGAAGAGGTACGCTAGACCATGATGTACATCACCACGGATCTTAATTTCATATATAAATCCGTGACATCACATAACTGTTTTAAAGGTTTTCCTATATAAGGCAATAAGTAAAATCAATTGGCCAATTTTGATACCAGTCCTGATTTGAACAAATTTGGTAGTTTGGTAGAGGTCTAATATAATGACACACACCACATACCTTAACCAGGCCATATCCTATACGAGTCTATGTATAAACAAATTACCCTCGCGCAGGGCAAACGTTGACCTCAGAGTCATGAATTTAACAAACATGGTTATGGAAAGCCATGGCTGTCTGATAATGTTCTTTTTCAATTTATGTAACCATTTGGATAATATATGAGTTCACTTCGACTATATATGAATTGAAAACACCTTCTTATTTAACCGGAATCCATTATATTAATCCACAGAAACAATATATGAAACCATACTGTCAGTGTATGAAACCGAGTGAGCAATATATAAGTTGATTTTCTCAATATATGATTCCAATTCTTCAATATATGTTACCAAAGTAGCCATGTATGGAACCAGATGTCCTTATATGAAACCGAATTATCAATATAATATTCATTTTTACAATATATGAAACCATTTTATCAATGTATGGAACCAAAGTAGCAATATATGAGTTGGTTATACCAATTATTCAATATATGGAACCAAAGTAGCAATGTATGGAACCAGGTGTCCTTATATGAAACCAAATTATCAATTTATTAATTCATTTTTACAATATATGAAACCAATTTATCAATGTATGGAACCAAATTAGCAATATATGCGTTGGTTATTACAATATATGATACCAATAAGTCAATATATGGAACCAAAGTAACAATGTATGGAACCAGGTGTCCTTATATGAAACCAAATTATCAATATATTAATTCATTTTTACAATATATGAAACCATTTTATCAATGTATGGAACCAAAGTAGCAATATATGGATTGATTATCACAATATATGATACCAATAATTCAATATATGGAACCAAAGTAACAATGTATGGAACCAGATGTCCTTATATGAAACCAAATTATCAATATATTTATTCATTTTTACAATATATGAAACCATTTTATCAATGTATGGAACCAAAGTAGCAATATATGGGTTGATTATTACAATATATGATACCGATAATTCAATATATGGAACCAAAGTAACAATGTATGGAACCAGGTGTCCTTATATGAAACCAAATTATCAATATATTAATTCATTTTTACAATATATGAAACCATTTTATCAATGTATGGAACCAAAGTAGCAATATATGGGTTGATTATTACAATATATGATACCAATAATTCAATATATGGAACCAAAGTAACAATGTATGGAACCAGGTGTCCTTATATGAAACCAAATTATCAATATATTAATTCATTTTTACAATATATGAAACCATTTTATCAATGTATGGAACCAAAGTAGCAATATATGGGTTGATTATTACAATATATGATACCAATAATTCAATATATGGAACCAAAGTAACAATGTATGGAACCAGGTGTCCTTATATGAAACCAAATTATCAATATATTAATTCATTTTTACAATATATGAAACCATTTTATCAATGTATTGAACCAAAGTAGCAATATATGGGTTGGTTATTACAATATATGATACCAATAATTGAATATATGGAACCAAAGTAACAATGTATGGAACCAGGTGTCCTTATATGAAACCAAATTATCAATATATTAATTCATTTTTACAATATATGAAACCATTTTATCAATGTATGGAACCAAAGTATCAATATATGAGTTGGTTATTACAATATATGATACCAATAATTCAATATATGGAACCAAAGTAACAATGTATGGAACCAGGTGTCCTTATATGAAACCAAATTATCAATATATTAATTCATTTTTACAATGTATGAAACCATTTTATCAATGTATGGAGCCGAAGTTTCAATATATAAGTTGATTATCACATTATATGATACCAGATCTTCACTATATGGATTCAAGTAAGTCATGTATGAAACCAGATGCCCTTATATGAAACCGAATTATTAATATATTAAATCAATTTTACAATATATGAAACCAGTTTATCAATGTATGTAACCGAAGTAGCAATATATAAGTTGATTTTCACATTATATGATACCAGTTCTTCAATATATGAGACCAAAGTAGCAATATATTGAACCAAAATGTCATTATATTGACGGGACTTTTTTTAAAGGCTGTATTCTATCCTTGCACCGGTATTACAGTTTCGCGCCAATATTCCTTGTTAAAAGAACAGCGTGCTTCACTGACGGCATACTGCAAGGAAATATTTGAATTTAACGTCACATTCACTTAAAATGCGCTGGGCAGGCAAAACTTATCGTTATATATGTTGGAGTTGTATGTCATAATTTAAGCTATTGAGTCGTACTGACCATTAACAAAAACATATTTAAAAATAAGCTCATCTCGACCTTTACCTTTGATCAAAAATAGGCATGGCCAGAAGGACACACCAAGGTTAATCTACTCACAAAGTTTAAAAAATAATCAGTCAAATAATAATTTATTTCATGAAAAAGTGTGTGCATTGTAATAACAGAACCCAGTGACCTCGGCCTTTAAATTGTTGACATGAAAATAGGCTATTTTGGTTCCATATAATGGAAATTGCTATCATAGAATGTAACATCAACTTATATACTAGCTGCTACTTTGGTTCCATACTTTGATAAAATGGTTTCATATATTGTAAAAATTAATATATATATTTATAATATATTGATAATTCGGTTTCATATCAGGACATCTGGTTCCATATATGGTTATTTTGGTACCATATATTGAAGAATTGGTATCTTATAATGTAATAACCAACTCATATATTGCTACTTTGGTTCCATACATTGATAAATTGGTTTCATATATCGAAAAATGAATTAATATATTGATAATTCGGTTTCATATCAGGACATCTGGTTCCATATATGGCTACTTTGGTACCATATATTGAAGAATTTTTATCATATAATGTAATAACCAACTTATATATTTCTACTTTGGTTCCATAAATTGATACATTGGTTTCATATATTGAAAAATGAATTAATATATTGATAATTCGGTTTCATATAAGGACATCTGGTTCCATACATGGCTACTATGGTACCATATATTGAAGAATTGGAATCATATATTGAGAAAATCAACTTATATATTGCTAACTCGGTTTCATACACTGACGGTATGGTTTCATATATTGTAACTGTGGATTAATACAATGGATTCCGGTTAAATAAGAAGGTGTTTTCAATTCATATATAGTCGAAATGAACGCATATATTATCCAAATGGTTACATATATTGAAAAAGAACAATATCAGACAGCCATGGCTTTCCATACATGGTAGTGGTCTTCTGTATAATACTTCACTTCGAATAGCTAAGCTAGATCAAAATCTAAGCTGTTGGTATTGTGGTTTTGGAGAAATCGACTTTAAATGCTTCCCTATATGAGACTACATTAAATCAATTGATCCCTGGAACGTAGCACATTTTAACCCCAGTGTCATGATTTGAACAAACTGTGTAAACTGCGTGCTCAGGTGAGCTAAAGCCAAACACGTTTATGCGTTATTGTTCTGAAAACGGTAAAATATATGAATAAATATGTTTTTCTTAGCATTTATTTCCATTGCATTAATAAACATATACACATACATGTATGTTCCTGATAAAAAAGAGATTCATTGATAGTAATGACAAACAAGAAGTATTTTTTTTTAAAAGATAATCGGCCAAAGTTAATCTGTTTTTATTTAAAAGTCATTTTCCATTTTAGTATTCAAGAAGAAATGTTAAATTTAAACTTAGATATCCCATCAACTTAACTTCAAATTGAAAAACACTTAAAAATCTGCGAAACCGCAGAAGAAAGTTCGTTTCCGAAACTCCTGTAGATTAATTAAAAAATATGACAATTTCACATATCCTTTATATTATTTTACTTATTTTAGAATTGCCAATGAGATTCTCAGATTAATGTTTGACCAATGAAAATTTTATTTTTTCCCTGCAATTTTTGCAGAAGGTCAAACGTTTAAAACCCACGTTTTAAGTACGTATATTTGGATCAATGATCCAGAAAGACCAGAAAAAATATGATAACACAATCCTGAGATATGTACGGGGTTGTTGTTAAAGCTGCCATACAACACTTAACATATTTTGTTGTAACAGTGGATTTTCTTCCCTGAAGTATTAGAAATAAATGATGGAATCCTTGGCTCCTCGCCGTATATGATAAAACAGAATTTATTAAGCATTTTCAAATGTAGGCTGCAGTCAGAATTACAGCTATATAAATTGATTATTTTGGGCAAAATAAAAGAAAATCGAAAAAAAAAAACTACAATATAATAATAAATGAAAACAACATAAGCACCATTGTTTGGAGAATAATACTGAAAAAAAACACGTTAAAAGTTGTAAATGCCGTCTACATGTTTTACCCTCGGAGGGGATCGAGGGGATTTCGGTAAGGTTTCACAACTATGCACCAGTCTGTCCATTCGCTTCCCTTTATCAAGGTCTGCGTTGTCCTCTCCCTCAGTTTTAACCCTCGGGACAGACCTTGCGGACAGGGGCATTCGCCCGTATTTGTGAATCAAATTATTCATGCGTTTACCTTTATCTAAATCAGCGTTGTCCTCTCCCTCAGTTTTAACCCTCGGGACAGACCTTGCGGACAGGGGCATTCGCCCGTATTTGTGAATCAAATTATTCATGCGTTTACCTTTATCTAAATCAGCGTTGTCCTCCCCCTCGGTTTTTACCCTCGGGACAGCACGTGCAGACTGAGGTTGTTTAGCGTAACTATGAATAAGTTTATTCATACGCTTGCCTTTGTCTAAGTCGGCGTTGTCTTCTCCTTCAACTTTGACTGGTACTCCACGTGCAGAGAGGGGTAACTTCCCGTAACTGTGAACAAGTTTTTTCATCCGGCCATCTTTATGGGTAGTTGCTGTATCTTCAGCTTCCGGTTTCACCCTGGCAACTCGGGGAGTAGCACCGAACTCCCCGTACTTTGTAATTAGGTTACACATTCTAAAACCTCTACTGACACGTGCAATGCCTTCCGCTTCCGTTTTAATTCTTGGTGGGGCAGTTTCCGGTCTAGGAGACGCAAAACCATCTATTATCGGCTTTATTGTTCCATGACGTCCATGCGTCCAGTTATCAACGGACTCTCTGGTCGGACAACGTGGTTCAGGCCTTGGTGACGCAATGCTCTCGCCATAAAACGCCCAGTTATCAATCGAGCCTCTATTTCTGTTCAGATAGTCTTCAGCGCCCCATTTAACCCTCGGAACTGGACAATCAGGACTATAGGTTCCATCTAAATCAAACCCAGGGTACGGAGGTACTGGGCTCGATCTTTTCTGTAACTCTTCTTTGTCCCATAGAGCATCTTCAAATGTACTCATATTATCTAGAAACAAAATTATTAGAATTTGATTTAAGTGATTTTGTTCCTAGTCCTCATGGCATCGAAATTCTGTATTCTCATATAGTGTCAGCAATTCAATTTGCCTCAAAAAACGCCTTACCAAAAAGCACTTATAATGAGCATGAAAAGCCCTACTGGTCGCCAAAACTAAATTCTGCCCATATTGAACAAAGAAATGCAAGAATACAATGGATTTTAAATGGGAGATCACGTGATCAGACTGATAATAATTATATTCTGTATAAATCTGCCAAGCGACATTTTATAAATACACAAAAAGAGGAAATACATGTTTCGTGATAAATATTATGAAGAACTCAATACAACGGCAGAATGTGACATGCGCCTTTTCTGGAGCTTATTTCGCAGAAAAAATGGCAAATCAGCTTCAGATGTAACAGATCTAAAAGACAATGACATTCTCACGCGTGACCCATATGAAATTGCTGAAATTTTCAGGAATTATTTTGAACAGGTATTTTCGCCAAAAAATAATGAAAAATTTGACTCTAAATTCTTAGATCAATTAGATATTGAAGTGAAAAAGTTCTTAGAATCAGATGACTATAAAGACGATGAAATTTTATCTGAAGCGGTTAAATTATCTGAAATCGAATGTGCCCTGAAGTCGCTTAAAAAGCGCAAAGCACCGGGTATTGACAAAGTCGTAAACGAGCATTTACTATTCGGTGGTGATGTTTTAAATAAATATCTTCAAAAACTGTTTTCTGCTATGATTCAAACATCATATATACCTTGTAACTGTAAAATTGGTATAGTTATCCCTATATACAAAGATGGAAAACCGAAAGATGCGCCAAAAAGCTATAGACCAATTAGCCTATTACCCGTAGTATACAAAACATTTGAAAAGATACTGCACGAACGATTAGATAAATTGACCCAAGCCAATAGAAAGAATTTTCCAAACGAGCAGCAAAATGCTTACCAAAAATACTTAGGTCCCTTAACGGTTTCATTTAATCTTCAAGAAACGATTGCTCATCAGTGTGAACTAAATTCGAATACCTTTGCTATTTTTCTTGACACAGCTGGTGCCTTTGATAATGTTAGACATAATGGGCTATTCATAAATTTGAAAAACTTTGGAATTCATGGAATATTTTTAAGAATGCTCATAAATAGTTACACTGGCTTAACCGGACACATCTTAGTCAACGGAATCTTGTTTGAAAGCTTTAAAATACAACAAAGTATTCGTCAAGGAGGAATTTTGTCAACATGGCTGTATCTCCTTTTTATAGACGAACTTCTTCAGTCATTACAGCTAAGTGGTCATGGAACGGTTATTGAATCTATAAGAAGTGGTAACCCAACGCTAGCGGACGATATCGTTATTCTGTCGCCAAACATTAAATCTCTTGAACACCAGTTGAATATAGCGAACAAATATGCATTCAGATGGGGATATGAATTCAATGACAGTAAATGCAAATTAATGCACTTTGGTAATTCTGGCAGACATGCGTTTAAAGATATAAATATTAATTTCGGAAGTGCTTCCCTACGTCCGGTGGACTCGGTTACTCACGCCGGCATTGAATTACACAATTCGCAAAAATGTTCAAGTGCTGTAGAAGCGCGTATCCGAAAAGGCCGCTCATCTCTATTTTCTATTCTATCTATCGACGAGACTCCTGGCGACGTGAATCCCTTACTTTTGGCCTCTTTAGTGAAAAAAGTTACATTTCCAACTGCCTTTTACGGAGCGGAATTATGGAATGATTTGACAGACACTGATATCCTTCAGATGGAAAGGTTATTCCGGTTATCTGCCAAATACATTCAACACTTTCCAAGAAGAACTCGAACTGATATGGCTCTAAGCATGCTGGGATGGTTACCTGCTATAGCAGAAATTGACAAACGAAAGCTTAATTTCCTGCAGAAACTGTGCACAATGCCTTCAAATTTATTGACAAGAAAAATATTTAATTTCAGATTACACCTATATGCAATCAGACAGTTTATTGGACAAAGCGGATATATACCTGACGTCTGTAGAATTCTAAGAAAATATAACCTTTTCCATATTGTTGAATCCTACTTACAAACAGCAATCTTTCCTGACAAGTTACAATGGAAACGAACAGTTTTTAACGCTATACGCAAATATCATACACAGCATTGGTCAGAAAGAATGAATAGCGATGATGATTTTGTACGCTTTAAAACTTTACATACCGATGTAAGCCCATCAATATTATGGAGAAATTCCGACTCTCTAAACTCAATAAAACATGCATTATGTACTGCTAAAGTTCTTGTTGAGGCAAAGCAAAGTGATGTGAAAATATGCAAGAAATGTGGTTCTCAAACAAGTGACATAAATCTCCATGTAATATCAAAATGTATTTCACTTAAAAAGACTCGAACAACTTTCCTTAATAGTGTTGAAAAACAATATAGTTGTGAATTCAGTAACTTCCTGAAAGGATGTAACAGCGAGACGTTTTTAAGAACTATCTTAAATCCTCGTGCCTTGGATATATATGACATAGATGAGTTTCTCCAAAAAGACTTCATACAAAGTGCTTGTAAGTTTATATACGATTGTTTAGTTTTTAATAACTAAACGTTTTATCTAAATAAATACAAGTACTTCAAATGACAGAAAATATTTAAGCGGTATTACCTAATTTACATAGCTTATATTTCGTTTCGGTAAGATGTGTGATACTAGGTTGAATACTGAGGCATTTTAACCATATATAATTACATTGCATTATCAGTAAGATAACTCAAATGAAATTTAAATATGAAATATGTATAAAACAATTATATAAATGTGTTTTTTATTGTTACGCTTAAATACTTATTGCTCAAAGATAACCTTTGATATAATGATAATATAATCATATAGAAATATAATCATATAGAAGCTTATACATGTATATGAAACCATTTAACTTGAACTTAATTATTATGTCTCTTTAATAATATATAAATGTACATTTGTCATAATCATGTATCATATGTTTGTATATATATTTCATGTTGTATATGTTGTAATCGCTGAAAAGCGGAAATAAAGAGTATATGAAGAAATGTTAAATTCAAACTTAGATATCCCATCAACTTAACGTCAAAGTGAAAGAACTTAAAAACCTGAGAAACCGCAGAAGAAAGTTCGTTTCCGAAACTCCTTTAGACTAATTAAAAGTTAGACACGTATTCAATTTCAGAAATCCTTTATATTATTTTACTTATTTTAGAATGGCCAATGGGATTCTGATATTAATGTTTGTAATCTTAAAATGACCAATGAAAATTTTACTTATATTTAGTCATTTCCTGCAAATTTTACAGGAAGTCAAACGTTTAAAACCCATGTTTTGAGTACGTATATTGGAATCAATTTTCTCGAAAGACCAGAAACACAGTATATAAACGATTTGAACCCCAACCGGATCTTGTGAGAAGATCTCAGCATCTAAACGTACAATCAGGCGGGATGACACATTAAACTTTTAAATATCGGCTTGAATTTAATATGTAACTGTAAGTTAAGATTTGAATCATATTAAGAAATAATTTATCTTTGCTTATACATACATCCATAACCTTCTTCGTAAAATATATGCGCATAAAACGCTGTGCTCTTCGCCTCATGTTTTGCTTATGTCAACACACGCCGATTACACAAGCAAATTTATGCCTAAAATTGTTGTACTTCACTATAACTCATATCTGAATCTTTACTTTATTATCTTAACCTCATGTTACCGGACAGACACTTGTGAAAATATCTTTGAATATTGATAAAACATAGTAAATAATAGAGGCGACATTTCCGATAACTGTACCCGTCTTGCTAAAACAATTTTAATGATCTGTACCCTACTTGTGTTTTCACTGAACCATTACTTGCGAGTCACTTTTGGTGATTTTTATTGTGTTTTTGTCGTATGTTCCAAATTTTATTGTACAGAATATGAAGTTATTGTGTCACAAGAGAAAAGTACATGTTTTAGTTCTTTGTAAGTAACTAAAACTGCATATGAATGGAGCTTCGTCATGTTTTCACTGTCTACGAAAATACCAGCATGAAGTGGCTGGTTATACGAATCAGAAAGTCAGTTATTTCTTGATATGAATACTTAATTAACAAACCTCATTTTCACTTACCATTCATTTTTCTTTGGAAAGATATAAAGCTAAAATATTACATATGTACTATAACTTTTTTATATTTAGTTCAACGGCATTGGTGCTAGATTTGACGTGACCGTTATATTATTAGTTATAGAGATTGTTGACAGGTTATATGGCCCTATATTGACGACTGTTTGTAAATATAACCCGAGCCGCTAGGTGAGGGTTATATTGCAAACAGCCGTTTATATACGGCCATATAACCTATCAACAATCTTTATAACGAATTTATAATACAGCAAACACCATTTTTTAGAGAAAAAAGTAAGATTTCTTCATGAGTCGACAACAGCCGGGTATATAAAACTATATACACGTCACGATTATCCAATGAAAAGCGACGTTACAAACGTGCAGTATTATAAAACGTCACGTATCAATAAACCTCGAAATATCATTACAAGATTTTTGCAGATTACTTATTTCAACATGTTGAAAGCTTTACACTTACCGTTGATTTCATTCTGCTTGAAATTCATTGACTTACTATTTCTGACATGTACGACTTTTATTCTTGTATATCTTTAATAGGCATCGACAATTTTGGCATGTTTTTAAACGGTGAAAATTCGTGAATTTTTGAAATTTTATTTGTCAGTGTTTAGCTATTGATGTTATAAACTTCTTTTTTTTGTTTACGTTATTGGCTGTGACGCTGAATTTTTTTAAGTAGGAAATTTTATTCTGATCATTATTTATTCTTATTTTCAAGTTGCAGTCTGGATGGCGAATAATTATGTGGTCAATAATGGCATTGAAATTCTTCGTCATTACTGAACAGTTGTATTCTTCCATGAATATACATAGCACTATATATTTTATTACACAAATGAATAACAATATTATCAGTTAATTAAACCAATTCTCGGTAAATACCTTAGATCCCACCTTATATACTAAAATTCTATTACAATCATTTATATTTTCTGGCAATAATTGATACAAAATCACAATGAACGTAAAGGTTTTCTCCAATAAATCTTTATAAATACTCACAAGTCAGGGTACAGATAAAATTCGTAAACTCACAAGTAGGGTTCACAATCACCAGCAAGTAACGTTCAGTTTACGGAAATGACCTCCTTGGTAAAACTCTTAAATTTATGTTCAAGATACAGCAATATGTTATGCATATGACTAAATTTTCGTTTGTTATTGATTACTTTAGTAGTTCAATATCACAATTCAATGTTTAACTAAATCAACCTTGGAATAAGACGGATTTTTGTTCGTGTTCAGTTTTGATCACCTGAAAGCTGTTCGTGAGTTTCGATTATTTTATAGCCTTCGTGCTAACGTTTATGTTTTGCATAACTTAGACGTTTAATAAAGTTTCTCTCTTATAATATAAATATAGATTTACTAACCTAACGTCCATCAGTATCAATATAAATACCAATATCGTAAACAAGTGAAGTGGCAGAATATGGCTGACACTAAAATCTTCTCACAAGATCCGGTTGGGGTTCAAATCGTTTATATACTGTGAGAAAAATATGATAACATAATACATGTACTGAGATATGTACGGGGTTGTTGTTAAAGCTGCCATACAACACTTAACATATTTTGTTGTAACAGTGGATTTTATTCCCTGAAGTATTAAAAATAAATGATGGAAACCTTGGTTCCTCGCCGTATATGATAAAACAGAATTTATTAAGCATTTTCAAATGTAGGCTGCAGTCAGAATTACAGCTGTATAAATTGAATATTTTGGGCAAAATAAAAGAAAATCGACAAAAAAACAATATAATAATAATAATAATGAAAACAACATAAGCACCATTGTTTGGAGAATAATACTGAAAGAAAAAACACGTTAAAAGTTGTAAATGCTGTCTTAAAACAATCACATCATTGCAGTTTTAAGGTACGATTTCTTTTTAACACCTGGTTGAAATACACAAGTCCTATTTCCCATTTCACGAAATAGTTTCCCCATGGAGCCTCGTCCTCTAACACTATTATTTCTTCCTTCTACATGTTTTACCCTCGGAGGGGATCGAGGGGATTTCGGTAAGGTTTCACAACTATGCACCAGTCTGTCCATTCGTTTCCCCTTATCAAGGTCTGCGTTGTCCTCTCCCTCAGTTTTAACCCTCGGGACAGCCCTTGCGGACAGGGGCGTCCGACCGTATTTGTGAATCAAATTATTCATGCGTTTACCTTTATCTAAATCAGCGTTGTCCTCACCCTCGGTTTTTACCCTCGGGACAGCACGTGCAGACTGAGGTTGTTTAGCGTAACTATGAATAAGTTTATTCATACGCTTGCCTTTATCTAAGTCGGCGTTATCTTCTCCTTCAATTTTGACACGTGGTACTCCACGTGCAGAGAGTGGTAACTTCCCGTAACTGTGAACAAGTTTTTTCATCCGGCCACCTTTATGGGTAGTTGCTGTATCTTCAGCTTCCGGTTTCACCCTGGCAACTCGGGGAGTAGCACCGAACTCCCCGTACTTTGTAATTAGGTTACACATTCTAAAACCTCTACTGACACATGCAATGCCTTCCGCTTCCGTTTTAATTCTTGGTGGGGCAGTTTCCGGTCTAGGAGACGCAAAACCATCTATTATCGGCTTTATTGTTCCATGACGTCCATGCGTCCAGTTATCAACGGACTCTCTGGTCGGACAACGTGGTTCAGGCCTTGGTGACGCAATGCTCTCGCCATAAAACGCCCAGTTATCAATCGAGCCTCTATTTCTGTTCAGATAGTCTTCAGCGCCCCATTTAACCCTCGGAACTGGACAATCAGGACTATAGGTTCCATCTAAATCAAACCCAGGGTACGGAGGTACTGGGCTCGATCTTTTCTGTAACTCTTCTTCGTCCCATAGAGCACCTGGTGCCATAGTTAATTCTGAAAAATGATTTTACTAATATTAGAATGTGAAACATGCGTAAGTTCGACTTATCCGTATTTTAACAACTATGATATATACGAAGGCCGTGTACTTTTCCCGGAATGATAATAAACAAACGTAAAGAACGGACATTGGGTACAAACAACAGACATTAAGAAGGGGCATCTGGCACAACCAACAGACATAAAGAACGAAAATGAAGAACTGATACAAACAGTACACAAAAAATAATAGACATATGTATTACACTTATAAAAACAGACAAGTGCTTTAAGATAATGATATACAATTGAAGGTTACAGTCAACAGAAGTTTGAATTATTCATGAATGAACGCAAATTACGTATTCATTCAATAAGCTCTGATATATTTGGGTTATTTTTGTGCTGAAAATACATGTATATTGATTGTTTACGTAACTACAAATGAGCCGCGCCATGACAAAACCAACATAGTGGGTTTGCGACCAACATGGATCCAGACCAGTCTGCGCATCCGCGCAGTCTGATCAGGATCCATGCTGTTCGCTTACAAACCCTATTACAAGTAGAGAAACTGATAGCGAACAGCATAGATCCTGATCAGACTGCGCGGATGCGCAGGCTGGTCTGGATCCATGCTGGTCGCAAGCCCACTATGTTGATTTTGTCGTGACGCGGCTCAAATGTATATGGTATTTTCAGACCACACCCGATTGATAGTTGCTAGGTGAAGCACAACACGTGAATAATCAGTATCCAGATGTCCTCAAATAGAGATATTTTCAGTTAATTACTAACTTGTAAAACGTCTTATTGTCTAAGACTGATAAATGCGTGAACGAGCATTGGCGTTTCGAGGGATTTTAAGAAGTACCCTATTTAACATCATTAAAATACAACTTGTCTTTGTAAACATGTACTTAGAATTAAACTCATCAGAATATCTATCTACCTAACTTGATAATATGACAGTAAAAATGGATATATATCATTATAAATGCTGATATCACCAAAGAACTAGCATTATAAATAAAAATGTAATATCAAGATATCATTATTAAAAAGTAATAAAATGACAAAATGTCATAATTCAATTGAACATGTACTTTGACATAATAATATCAACAATAAAGTGTATATGTAAATGTAAAATTGGGGGAGGGGGGGGGGGGGTTGAAAGTTCACTGGAGTACAACAATCTTCGTTTACATGTAGGCCTAATTAAAATATACTAGTACGTAATAAAAAGATTCAAAGTAGCTATACGCACCTTTTAAACGATTGTTTGACAACTGTAAGAAAATATTTTGAAAAAAAAAGATAAATAAAACTTAACATACCTCTAGCTTCGCTGATTTTTACAAGCCTTATGATTTCCTTTTAACGACCAAACTAACTCTGCATTATTCAAATCAAGGTAGCATTTATCACGCTGTCTTAAATCAACAACAAAACATTGTATATGAACAAATATAGCTTACTGCGATATCTCAACTTGTAAGAATGTTTTTGGCACACTTTCCGCTACCTAATCGATAAGGTCTCAACTATATAGCATTTATAAACAATGTATTTAATCAATCCAGTTTTGATTGGTTTTATGTCTGATATTTAATGTCAGATTTTTTGTCAGCTTTTGGCTTGAGAGGTTAGTGACAACCGTAAGATTAAAAGAGTGATTTTAAAGGCCCATTATGCCGTGTAATGGCTTTTATTTTTATTTCTGAAAAAAAAAAAAACTTTTTTATTTTTGGTATACTTTTATAGTTTCCAAAAAGTTACTCATTGGCCAATTACCTGAACCATTTTTTTTTATCTGCTGCTTTTTGGCAGTTTGAACAGTTATAGTGATTTAGTATTTTGTATAGAATACATAATATTACTTTGTTTACATTTTACTTCTTTTACGAAACATTATTTTACATGTATCGGTAACAAGAATTTAACTTGCTCTAAAATCATCATTTAAACGTTAAAAAAGTTCATGATTCACCATTCTAAAAAATAAAAATTTATTCGTTCTGGGGCACCATAATGTGCCTTTAGTAAAAACTTCTACAGGCAAGCCGCCGTAGACTATAAAATTCGTCAAGTGAATGCACTTTTTAAACACGTTTGCAATTTATGACTTAAAACTCTATATCAATTTCAAGCCATCAAGTCAATAAATTCTTTCTATTTAGCATAATTTCCAGAAAATAGTCAAATGTAACCCCGCCGATTGTGGAAAATGGCGTGGGGATTTATCCGAATTACTTCGCACTGTAGCACTTCGCACTTGAAGTGTAGGGCATTTTGAGGGAATTAATCATCTATCAGGGCGGTGTCTTTTGCTCGTTTTACAATAATTGTACACTTTTTGAAATTCTTTCCATTTTATACAATAGATCCGTCTACCAATAAAACTATCGTAGAATAGGCAAAATGCGACCATTGTATGAAGTTGTTTTGAATTCCAACCAGTAGTTTTCAAGTTATGCTCCGGACAAGGAAAAGTAACAAAGGGCAGTAACTCTGTTATTAGTCAAGATGGAGTTATGGTTCTTGTGCACTGCACTTCCTCTCAATGTGCTTGACCATTGTAAGAAGCTATATTGAATTCCAACCATTAGTCTTCAAGTTATGGTCCGGACAAAAGAAAGCAATGGAAAAGTAACAAAGGACAATAACTCTGTAATTACTTTAGATAGAGTTATGGTTCTTGTGCACTGCACTTACCCTAATTGTACTTGACAATTGTATGAAGTTGTTTTGAATTCAAACCAGCAGTTTTCAAGTTATGCTCCGGACAAGGAAAAGTAACAAAGGACAATAACTCTGTGATTAGTCAAGATTGAGTTATGGTTCTTGTGCACTGCACATCCTCTCAATGTGCTTGACCACTGTATGAAGTTATACTGAATTCCAACAAGTAGTCTTTAAGTTATGCTCCGGACAAGGAAAATGCAACGGACCACTGGACCGACCGACCAACCAACCACCCACCCACCGGGTGACTCCTATATACCCCCATACTTCGTTTCGGGGGTATAATTACGTCACTCTAAATTACCGCTTTCTGTGAGTATTAATATACCAGTAATCACACTAGTGTGGAGTGTGCTGAAATTGACAGAGAATCTTTTACAAATTCGGTGCTTTTAAGAATTGCCCAATTTGTCATTCGCAGTATTACACATAAGCAACTTACCATTTTAATCCAGATAAAAATGTTATAATGAATCAAGGAAAACGGAAAGATTTAAAAGCATTCACCAAGGTGTTTTGTCATGAAGGGACTATCTAAAATATTTTTAGATGTGTGTACTTTTGAACTTGTGTGCAAATTTTCAGTTCAGTCGCTCACATTTTTTATTCCAGAATAACCATTATAGTTGTGCAAAAAAGACCCCAAGCATGAAGAACATTTAAATGCTGTTGATTAACTCAACACGAATTTAGTTTGTTTTGGGTTTTAAGTCGCACCAACACTGTATAGATCAAATGACGACGTTCCAGCTTTACTGGTGGAGGAAGACCTCAGGTGCTCTTCCGTGCATTATTTCAGGCACGAACGGGCACCTGGATAGAACAACCGACGTTCCGTCAGCTAGCTGGATAGCTTCTGCACATCAGAGTCGGAATTTGAACCCAAACCCACAGCGGTGAGCAACAACCTTAACCACACGGTCAGGTACGCAAAAGTCGGATTAAGAATCTGTTTCAGATGTAATTCCGAGTGTTATTTGCATTATTACTTCACGTATGCAAGAGTTTCATACGTTTTAAGTTTTTTTCAACACTTTTGGACCTCAGTGGAGCTCTTTTAAGATTTCAAATGTTCTAGGGAGGTAATAAGAGGGTTCTCTGTCTAAAATCCAGGAATGGCTCAGATGTAGAACTTACATGTCTTAAATACATCATCACTACCTACTGACCCATCAGTTTTTTCTGTTTTCCACAAGAAACCGTCAACTTCTCTACATAAAATCAGCAGTGGAAGAATCAACCTGTACTAATCTGTAGAAAAACTATTGTTATGCTCATTCAAGAACTCTTCTAACCCCCTTACACCTAACCGTAACACAACTATATGTCTTAAATGGACTTGTCCATATCTCTAACTATACCACTCATTATTCAAGGAAATTTAAAAATAACTACCAAATGAATAGCGAAAAAGTAGTTCAATAATTCATGATGAAAGGTGGCATAAGTGCCAGCTGATCATGGCCTGCACAAGTTACCATGTTAAGTGTTAGATGAACTATGAATTATATTATAAAACAACAAATCACTGTTAATTTATATTATTTTATTTTAGCAAAATAAGTTTTGCTGCTTAATTTTATGTTTACATTCATTCAATTTAGAGAAAAACAAAAACAAAACACTATATTCTGTCTAACTGATATGAACATTTGAGCCCTGTCACGACAAAACCAACATAGTGCGTTTGCGACCAGCATGGATCCAGACCAGCCTGCGCATCCGCGCAGTCTGATCAGGATCCATGCTGTTCGCTAACCAACTCTATTACAAGTAGAGAAACTGATAGCGAACAGCATGGATCCTGATCAGACTGCGCAGGCTGGTCTGGATCCATGCTGGTCGCAAAACGCACTATGTTGGTTTTGTTGTGACACGGCTCATTTGTAGTATAATGATTACATAAGTGACCAACTAAAACTATAAATAAATTTAAACTCTATACAGTGAAGCTGTTCAAATAGAAGTTGAAGATTTTTATCATCAAACATGTAAATAAGGAAAAGGTTAGAAATAGAAAGAACCAGTCAAATAATAAAACTATATGATTGGTAAATTTCAAAATCTAAGCAACCAATCAAAAGAAGGGTAATAAAAAGCTACCGATAACGAAACTTTTTGATTGGTCAATTTCAAAATCAGCTGTGAATTGAGATCAGTTATTTTACAGTTGTTTACAAAGACGTAAATTTCTAAAATACATGTAGGGCCAAGACTAAGTAAGACAGAAAAAGACAGATAAGGGGCTACAACATCATTAGGCTACTAATTTCAATTTAATTCTAAATCACTTACAGAGATTTTAAAAAGATCTAGACAGAGATAAGTTTCTATATAGTGGTAACAGTTAGATTTAAAATGCAAAATCGCAAAAAAATTGTACAGTGTACGACTAGAGAAAATAGGTATATGAAGTTAAAACATGAAAAGTGAGAAAAGAGTGAAGAAAGAGAAAAAGAATGGTGGGGAAGAATACAAATCAAATATCATCCTATGACAGTGATTAACAAGAGCTGTCCGTAAGACAGCGCGCTCGACTTTTTTATTGCTTGCCAATAAAAAAAGTTTTTGCAGTAAAAGGCAATACAAGAATCTCTGTATTTTTAAAGTGAACAATGGCCATGAGCATTAAGATATTTAGTGAAGAATTATTTTACTGAATTGTGTGATACCCTTGAACACTGCTTGCCTATAATACAAAACATTGACAGTTAAGGGCCATAATTCAAATAAAATCTTTGACAGAATTACCTTCTCCTGGACATGTTTGGGAATCATGATTGTAAACAAGTATTCCAACTTTCAAATTAATATCTCAAACAGTTCAGTCAAAAAGTGGACTGGTACTAAAAACTTAACCAAGATTCTAAGTCGATAAAAGGCCTTAATTTTTAAAACAAATCCTTGACAGAGTTACCTTCTCTTGCGTACAGATGGGGGTAATGATGTGAAATAGCATTAAAAGTTTCAAAGCAATATCTCAAAGGGTTAAGGCAATAAGTGGATTTTACCCATATTCAATGTATTTTCTAAGTCAAAAAGGGGCATAATTCTGTCAAAAACCTTGACAGAGTTATGTCCTCTTGTCTGTTGATGAAGGTCGTGATGGTAAACAAGTATGGTCAGTTTCAAAGCAATACCTCCAATGGTTTTGAAATAAAGTGAGGTGGTACAAAAAACTTAACCAAGCTCAATACACTTTCTAAGTCAAAAAAGGGCCATAATTCTGTCAAAAACCTTGACAGAGTTATGTACTCTTGTCTGTAGATGGAGGTTATGATGGTGAACAAGTATGGTAAGTTTCAAAGCCATACTTGTAATACTTCTGAAATAAAGTGGGGTGGTACGAAAAACTTAACCAAGGTGTGACGCCGACGCCGACGCCGGGGCGAGTAGGATAGCTCCCCTTTTCATAGAAAAGTCGAGCTAAAAATCAATAAAATAACATCACAAATTTGGAATCAATTTTTCTGAAAAATTTCAAGGTTTCACGGACAGTGACAGTTGAGACAGTTTGAATCTACGTCACTTTTTCAGTAGAGTATCTAAACAAAGATGAAATCAAGCACACTTGCAAACATAAATTATTGAGGCTATGAACCAAATATGTACATAGTGGGCAAAAAATATCCAAAAATAACTTTAAAAGTATCAAAGTATTATAAGACGCATTTACATGGATAAGATAGTTATTTTGCAACTTACTGATCTATTCTTAATAAATTTTAATGTAAGAAAATAATTTGGTTATCATTTTACTGAGCTTTATTTAATATATATCAAAATTTAATTACCATACATAAATATCATATAATCATCAAATATAATTTTAATTCTAATTCAATTTGTGCTCCATTTTGATAATCTATCTACCGATTAGTCTTGTGGCATAAAGGAAAAACATTGCTTCTCATTAAAATAATTAGACATATTTTCCGCAAAAAACATGTACCAGACCTACTAAACTGCAAATTAATATTCACAAAAAAAAGATATACAATTTCAATGGTTAATAGCCCCTTACATATGTTACAACACAATTCTGAAAATAAACACAAATAATTTATAAAGTTGAATAAAGCATACATTGGTCAGATATCAAAATAAATATGTTATTAATTTTAATATAAATGCACAAAGTTGAGACAAAAGTGACAATCTTTTCTGTTGTCAGGGTGTTTTAAGTTACATTGGCACAGTAATGGTTTGACTGAACATCGACTTTCCAGCTTTACTCATGGAGGATGATACACGCCATTCTGTGCATTATTTCAGGTAGGAGCTGGCACCATAGTAGAACAATCAACGTTCCACGAGCTAGCTGGGTTCACTTAGTTAGGTCTGATAGCTTCACATGAATCATTTGAGCCGCATCACGACAGAACCAACATAATGGGTTTGTGACCAGCATGGATCCAGACCAGCCTGCGCAATCGCGCAGTCTGATCAGGATCCATGCTGGTCGCAAACGCACTATGTTGGTTTTGTCGTGACGCGGCTCATTTGAATAAAACAAAAATCTTATATTTTTCTTAGATAAAAATTTCTTTCTTTCTTTTCTTAATATAGATTGAATATTCTCAAAGAACTGGTGTACATTATTGCATGTAAGACTTGTCATTAAATAACTGAAAAAATATTGTTGTATAAAAAGGCAAGGGGGATAATCATTTAATGTTTTAATAGTTTTATTTACAATTTAAGAGTTTAAAAAAAATTCCAGTATAAAAACAAAATTTGTATACAATGGTAAATTACTTTTTAACACAATTATGTTGCAAAAATATATTTTCAAAGTTAAAAGCAATGAAATTTTCACAGAAAAAATGTTCATAACACATAAATTTGAAGTTATCGCACTCAGCAGTTTTCACTTACAGTATTAACACATAGATACAACTCACAGGATACTTTTGCTTCTGCACGCATCAATTCTTCACTCTCAATTTTTTTTCCTTCACTCAATAGCACTTTCCTCTACCGTCATATTTCACTCTAGGAAGTCTGTATATAATATCATTTCATTCTACACTGGCACTTCTTGTTCATCAATGCTTTTTTCTTCCATTTCATGTGCACTATATATAGCCATATAACAAGGTGCCGTAACTTACCAATATTCGTTATTACTTCCATTTTTCCTTGAACCAAACAGAATTCTGTCGTCTATCATAATAACACAATTCTTGGTTTAAATATTATAATCACTTTCAATTTATGTCCCCCACAATGTGACAAGATTGTTTTTCTTACTTCCACAGAAGTTTCGTCATTTTACTCTTTTACTTTTTGTCTCTAACATTCTCTCACACTCGTCCCAACAAACCAGGTTTAAGAATTGGAGAATCCCAGTGGGCGGAGCTTGTTCTCTTATTAAAACGTGCCTTCTTTTTCTCAAAAAGAACGTTAAGATCTGGTGCTTCTATCACATCAAAAAGATCGTCCAGATTTGGCGGATGATAATGTTGCTTTATCAACAATGTCTTCAACTGAGAGCCTAAAATAGAACAATCATTGTTTATGAAAACAAGCTTTGAACAATGGCATAACTAAACAATCGACACATAACCCCTCAACCAGATGAAATTCGCGGCATGGGTAAAACTAACGGGAACACCAGTTTGATATGCAAGAATAATAAAATCTGTACTACAGCAGGACTGTACTGTTGACAAAGTAAAGTTTAACTTCCATTTTACAGGTATGCATTAAAGCATTAATGACATTTTTTATGCTATTCCAATTTGTCTAAAGATCAAAATATAAACACAAAATATCTTCTGCAATCCCCATTTGTCCACAGAACAAAATATTAATATAATACTATCATTTTTTTGTGAAATCTCCCCAGCGAAATAACATTACCTAAACAATAACATTAACACAAAATGGTTTATACACAGCTAAATCAATGTCTGAACAATTTTGATTAAAATTTCAAACTTAAATTATTTTTCTTATTCCTCATGGAAAAACCTACCCTGAGCCCAGTCTGGTATTTTCTTTCTTGGACATTCATCATCATCAGTTTCATCACCAGAGTTGAGATCATCGATACCGTAATTCTCTGTCGTGGATGCCATTGGTACCCTCTTTGGTGTCATTTCATACCTGAAATATACATGTACATGTTAATTAATACTAGTACCAGCTTTACCTTGAAACTTCCAAGATTTAAGAGTTGGTTTTAAATCTTTTACTGAAGGGTTAAAACAATTACGAGTAACCTTAATTTTCTCTGTTTCAAATCTAAAGGTTAACACGTCTGACTAGTAATTTAAGGATTGCTGATTGCCTGGGTTCAAACCCTGTCGGGGGCAAGCTGTTGTTTCCTTGAGCAAGAAACTTTATGTTCATTGCTTAGCATTGGTTGGTTCCAGGAATGGATTTCATAGTGTTTTTATAAGCTTATAGCTTCCAACACAATCAAACTAAAATAGATTTGTATAAACTAACTAATTGAAATCTAGGTAAACTTACGAGTCATTGTTAACGCTGGAGTTTTGCTGGACAGTGGCTTCCTCGAGAGAGTGCGTTTTGTTCATATTAGGTTTTGGCAGTTTACCCTGCTGTACTTGTGCATTGTGTTTATGAACCATCTTCTTGATCTCCTCGTCTTGTTTACGCTGTTGGGCCTTGATTCTCTCCTGTTCTGCCAATCGAATCCTCTCCTGCAAAACAAAATTGGCAAGGCAATGTTTTAATCTAAGCAACTGGGTTTTTTCTCAGCAAAGTTTTATCTGGTTAATAATAAACATATTTTTAGATTTTTTACTATTATTTTAATGGAGTATTTTTTTTCTTTTTGTAAAGGGACCTAAAAACTCATAAAGCATATTTTTTGCAGTGTTTAACTTAGTGGCTTGTGAGTAATGAAGCTTAATTAGACTGATTATAACCAATATCAATATTATCACTTCAGAAAGTACAGATTTTTGCAAACGGACATGTGAACTGCTCTTCCATATTGCAGTATGTAATGTCTTACAATTTGCCTTACAATTATACACAGTCCTGGTATTGAAAAATCAGATATACAGACATGTTAAAAAAGCCTTCAAACATAGCATGACAACTGCATATCACTTGTGAACATTACCTGTTCTCGTATTTTCTCCATTTCTTTTTTCAGCTGTATTTCCCGTTCTTTCTTCTTCTCCAAGTCAAGTTTCTCTTTTTCTGCCCGTTCTTGTGCAGCCAGTCTTTCCCTAGAATAAATTTTACCATTTGATACAAAGACGAAAGTGGGGAATATCAATGGCTTTCTTAGTCAGCTCTTTAACATTATGATCTGTTACAAAGACTGTTTTAAGATACTTTAAAATCAAATTACAAACCAGTTACATTAAAAACACAAATCTCAATACTTATCCTAACATTACACATCATCTTATTTCATCATTCAAGTATTTAGTTCTAAATCATGTTAGAATAATGGTATCATATGAGAAAGTATCAATCATTTCTATATTATTTCCTTCTTCATGGACATGATTCTCAGATAGAGAATGAAATAAAAACAGGTAAAAACCTTTCTTCTTTTTTCTTTTGCCACTCTTTCTTTTTCTCCTCTTCAATCTTCAAGAGACGAAGTTTTTCCTTCTCTCGTTCTTTCTCGGCCTCCAGTTGTCGTTCAGCGGCTCGCTTCTTTTCCTCTTCTATCTTCTGCTGTCTCTCCTGTTCCTCAAACTCCTTCTTTCTCTGCAACATCTCTTCATGAAATTTCTCCTGCTCTATCTAAAAGAAAATTATATGGTAATGTTTTAATTTTTTCTGCTTGAAACTTCATCAATTAAATAGAGGATATATGTTTGGTTCAGTGTAAGATCGGAATTATTTCACTGAGTGAGCACCAAAAGGTATATTTCACGAGTGGCGCAGCCACAAGTGAAATATGAACTTTTGGTGTTCACATGGTGAAATATATTTTGATCTTACACAAAACAAAACTTTCTTTTTATTGTATGAAAAGAAACGTTTAAACAGACATTTTAACCTAATACTAAATGAAAATCCCGCCAAATAATAATAAAACGTAACATATACAATGTCACATCATTAAGTTGGTTTCCAGTACAATGTACACAGGTATTTCACTGAAATGTTACAATTTCTTTCTATTCTGTTAAAGATCCTGTATGTTTTGTAATTGAGATTGCATACCACTCTTCATTGAATTATATATGTATGTAATTATGCAAATTTGTCAATTTTCAAACATGGAAGAATATGTAAAATATGTATTGCAAATATTTGTACATATTTAAGGTAATCATTAAATTATATGCATTCATTTCTTATTGGAAAAATTGACTTAGAATTTATAGAAAACTAAATTCTAATTACCTCCCTTTATTTACATGAAATATTAAATTCGGTAATATCTTTATAAATAATGTTTTTTGAAACTTACAATATCGATAAATCTTAATTTGAGCATCATAATTTGTATATAAAACCATAAAAATAATGTGTTACAGGATCTTTAAAGAAATTGATATGATTTTTATGCAAAGTAATATGAAATTTATTTGCTTAGGAAGATTTAGTGCTTTACAGTAAATGGCCTCTCACTTCACAGTAGATGGCCTGTGAATCATTTTATCTACTTTTGTATCTAATCTCTTTCGGTATCAAGGAGGCTGCCGTCTGCCGTCTCTATTGTTTTTCCGGCAGGGCTCTCATATATAAGGGCTGAACAGAGAAAGAGGGGGAGATTAGTTGGGATTAGTTGGAAGGAGTTGAGAGTTAGTTAGGGTTAGTTAGAGTTGGTCAGGAGTTAATCAGAGAATTTGGTAAAAGATTAGTATGAGTTTTTAGGATATTTTGTGTAAATGGAAATATGAATGTTTGTGAAAATAAAATTATAGTAGAAGACTTTGTCCTTCTGTTGTGTTTTATTAACTCGGCTTCAAGTAAATGAGGAACTTTTTTTAATTAAAATGATATTTGCAACAAGGTCTAGCCTTTGATTGCTACCGTCAAAGGGGCGATTTTGTTACAGAAACAATGTAAGGAGCTGAAATCCAAAACAGTAAAAAATATCAAATTGATAATTTCACTGTTTCATACAGGGAAATATCAGTTTTACGCTGTTTCTCAATAATGAGATTCAATGCATGTCACACTTAATTTATTATTTTATGCCAAATTCAAAACAAAAAAACATTTGCTCAGATATTTTTCAACTTGATGATCATCAGTTATATAACAGTTATTGTAATCTTTGAGCGCTTATATTTTCTACAATTCAAATCAAATTATAGAAATGATACTTTCGTTACCTGTCACAATTTGATTTTAAGGCTTTTAAATGAGGTACACAGATATGTAAACGTAATTTTATGTCACTGTGTTTTATTATTAGTATTATATTATTCATTATATAACTTTATAACGTTTCATGCAAATTGCGTATCAAAATATCGTTTATTTTGCATACTGTTTTGATGTCACACCTTCTTTGATACATTCGTTACCACTTGAATCAAATGCTCATTAAAACTACCCAATGCTTCATGAATTGTTTTCTTCAGTTTCAATTAGTTATACAGTGTTTATTCAATACAAAAATTAAAAGGATGCTGATAAATAATGTAAAAACATGAAGTTCCTGCATCGAAACAATATGACATGAATAAGTTATAAATTAGATAATACATTCGTTACCAGCATCAATACAGTAAATACATAATGATAGCAAAAATGTTTTTAAAGTATTATCAGTTGCTGAAGCAAGGAAAAATTTATAACAATTTAACAGCTAATTACATTAAATCAATTGCTTATTTTCTAGAGTAGAGACTGATTTTGATACATTCGTTACTGATACCTTCGTGATTATCATCACACTTATTACGCATAGCATAATTTTTATTTCGATGTATTGATTGTTTGAATAGGAAATTACGTCATTAACATTATGACGTTTTGTTTTCTTACGAGCGCCATTTCTAAGAAAAGAGTATCATCGAGCGTGTTTGATGCTTTTGCCTGGTAATATTTCAAGTTAATTCATCGCTATAAAGGTAAGTAAATATTTATTTTTATCACTGAAAAATGTTGATTTTATTTCATTTTTTATAAAAGTATTCTTTGTATCTTTTTAAACTTGTGTATATTCTTTAAATAAATAGAATAAATGGTTGATACTTTCGTTACTATATGGTAACGAATGTATCAGTTATTTTAATTCTGCAATACTTCATGTTTTTTATCTGCACACAAAAAAATATGGAATGTTTACAATGCTAATCTTTGTTAAGGAATTATATATATTATTTTTTAAGTTTTAACATATTTACACTTAAAAAGTAAAAAAAAAATAACTCCATACTTTATCAATAGTGACATTCATGTCGGCTTGAAATAGCTAAAATGCCTAATTTTTTTGTATCATATTTATTTTAATCTCAGTTTTACAACAAATTGAACGCTTTATTCAATAAATGATCTACATGAATTTGGATTAGGTATCTTGAAGAAAATATTTGCATTTACACACTTGAATGAGAGGTAACGAAAGTATCAGATCTTCGTTACATAGACTTAATTCATTTTTCTATCTTCAGAATGGGCAAGTCACGTGCTGAAATTCAAAGAGATTATAGGAAAAGATTAAAAGAAAAGCTAGGAGAAGAATATAATAGAAGGGAACGAGACAGAATGAGGGCAAGTTATGTATCATCATCCCAGCTAAGTGAAAAAAAGAGGAAAGAACGTAACCAGAAAAATAAGATAAGAAATAGATTATGTCGACAGCGTATGCGGGATCGGTTAAATTTACAGCATGCACATGAAGATACAGAAAACGAATGCACCAGTGGCTATTCTAGCACTATTGTCAGTCCTGAAGATTCCAGTAAAGAACGCCTTATTGTTAGACTACCCTGTTTGCCAATGACATCAAAATCAAATGGACCCAAAAAAGCTAGAGCTCGTGCCCTAGCAAGAGCACACCGTACTATCAAAGGTTTAAGAGAAGAACAGTTAAAATTACAGAAAAGGTTAGCATGCAAAAGAAAACAAATAGAAAGACTGACAAAGAAAATGAAGGCTACACAAAAAAGTACAGATTCCCCTGGGCACAAAACTGAATGTGAATTATCAAAATTGCAGCTATCGCCAAGCAAACAAAGGATAGTGAAACGGAAACTGTTATTTGCAAATGTACTTTTGAATGAATTTAAGTTGGCCAAAAACAATACCTCAACAAAGAAAAGAAAAATATTACACAAGTTAATTGCCGGGAAAGTTGCAAGGAAATACCGATGTATCAATGTTATAAGTCAAGAAACTGGTTTGAGTAGGTCATCATTGAGCCGCTGCCAATCGAAGGACATAACATATACAAAAGAAAGACGTTCTTGTATATCACGGAAAATGGAAGACAGGGTAATTGAATTTCTTTCACGTGAGGATAACAGCAGGACACAGCCAGGAAAGAGTGATGTTAAAAAATCATTGGCAGGTACAAAGCATCAAACATTGGTTCTTACTGACTATTTGAGAAATCTGTTCCAGAAATTTAAAGCAGAATATCCAGATATTCAAGTGTCATTTGCAACATTTTGCAGGTTGAGACCAAAGCATATTCTATTAGCAAAATATATATCGCGAAATGCATGTCAGTGTTTACGGCATCAAAATATGGCTTTCAAGGTTCAGGCTCTGAGAAAAAATGGAGTAAAGATTAGTGAAAATCCAGAAAACATACTAGTGCATGAAAATAACCTTGATGATCTATTTAAATGTATTGAATCAGATACTGTCTTATTCAAAATATGGAAAAGGGTTGAATTAGAAAACAAGCAAAAGAAAATGAAAGTGATTGAGCAGGAAACAAATATAACAGTATTTAAAGAGAAAGTAACTCAAGAAGTAGGTGAGTTTTCAAGCCACGTTCAGCGACTTAGAGCTCAATTTCAACAACTTAAAGTAAACAAAGAAACACTGAAAGAGCATCATATGATAGTGCAAATGGATTTCGCAGAGAATTTTTCATGTAGATCTTTAGATGAAGTGCAAACAGCATATTGGAATCAGAGCTCTGTTACTCTCCATCCAGTAGTGGCTTATTTTAAAAGTGATGGTGAATTGAAGCATAAAAGTATGGTTATAGTTTCAGATGAAATGGCACACTCAGCAAGTACAGTATATGCATTTATTGATGCAATTATACCAGAATTGAAGAAAATTGATCCCGAGCTTCAAAAGTTACACTACTGGACTGATAGTCCTTCAAGTCAATATAGAAACAGATTCATATTCAATATACTTTCTAAACATGAGGCTTTATACGGCTGCACTGCGCAGTGGAATTATTTTGAGGCCGGGCACGGCAAAAGTGCTTGTGATGGACTGGGAGGTACTACGAAGCGGTTAGCTGATGAAGCCATTCGTCAAGGAAATGCAACGATTCAAGATGCTCATGACTTTTATGCTTGGGCATTACAATCAAACATGAGAGATGTTAAATTTGTATTCGTTGGTAAAGATGCATGTAAAGTAAAAGCTGATGAATTTTCAAACCTAAGCATAAAACCAGTGAAAAACACGATGAAGTTGCATGCTATATCTGTATGCAAAGAACACTTCATGACCAGGACAACTTCATGCTACTGTGAAAATTGCATTGTAGAAAATTTTTGCTCTGATTGGAATGTAGAAAACTTCGGAATTCATGCAGGAACAGATGTACGTAAGGTAAACGTTACAGATCAAGAAGATATGGTTAGTGTTGAAAATACTGTTTTCAAAGACATTTCAGTGGGAGATTTTGTAGCAGCAAGATATGAAGGAGATTGGTATATCGGAAAAGTCGAGGAAATTGATCGAATTGATGAGGATTGTAGAGTTAATTTTATGGAAAAGGCAAAATGTTTACATAAATGGCCTAAGTCACGTGACGAGTTGTGGGTTAATAAGGACGATATATTATGTAAAGTAGAAGAACCATTAAAAACTGGAAAGTCTTGTCGTATGTTCAAGTTGAGGGAAGTTGACCTCGAAAGGGTAGTAACATTGTTTGACATGCAGTGTTAGAAATAAAAAGTGACATTACTACAACAAGATAAAAGTAAATGACAGTGTTTGAGACACATAAAAATCGATCATGCTTTTGTGTTTTAAAAGTGATACATTCGTTACCACATCTCAAAATTTGACATTTGAAAAACTAAATATGCATTGTATTTTGAATAAATGTTCTAGATTTGCATATACATTTTAATAAATTGTGCATAACATGGATTCTTAAAATGCAATGTGGTTCTAACATGCCATGTATATACAGATAATTAGTTGATACATTCGTTACTGAGTAGTTACTGTATCATATATTTTATACGTTATGTTTTATTGATCTCCATTGATGACTTCTATAGATTTTAAATAAGAAATACACTATTTAAAAATAAGTGGTGCAATTATAAACGTATATGATAGGTGGTCTGGCAATTATTTGATATTCGTAAGAGTTTTACATGTATTGCACACTTAATTACACATAGTGAAAGATACATGAAATGTTTTTCTACAAATATTTGTAAATTGTACATATATATATATATATAAATCTTAGATTTTTGCATTCCTATTTACTGTTTTTCAGCATATGAAATATTTTCATGATGATTTTAATGTATTTTATATCACGTAAATTTTAATAAGTCTCAATGATACTTTCGTTACATTTAACCCACTAACGAAAATAAGCTATCCAATATTTAATATTCATTAATAAAATTATTACATAGAAAAACTGATTTTGATATAACCATATGCACATAAAAATCATATTAGTAACGAATTTAGTTATATGTTTGCATAATTTTGTAAATAAGAAAAACATATATTTTTGTTTTTTTATATTTTTGTGACAGTTCAGTTTTTTAAGGAGAGGGGAGATTGCTGCAAAAAATACATTTTTTCTCACTTTCAGACATTTTTTTTATTGATAACATCTACTAGGTACTTTTGAGTAAGTTTAGTGATAAAAACGTATTCAATTATCAACCATATGATTATATTTAGCTAAGTTTATTAATGCTGGTGTGAAGTAACGAAGATATTTATCCTCATTATTAGGGAAAAGTATGTCATCTTTATTGAGATATTTTGCAGAAAAACTAAACATGATTTGTAAAAGATTTTTTGGCATAGTTTAGTTCAATGTTTGACCTGTTAAATTAAAGAGTTATAATAAAAATGAATGTTGATTCATGTTTTGCATTTTTATTCCCTGTATTTGCTTCCCATTAATGAGAAACAGCGTTTATATTTCACTGACATTTGTCTATAAACCACCGAAATGCATGTAATAAAATATAAATAGTTGTCCTATAACTGATTAGAGGCCGCTTCAAAACAGTGATTGCTATCAAGTTAATATTGAACACCACTCAAGACAATCGAAATCATTCACAGTTTCAAACCAAGATCTGTTGATTTCACAATTACATGCCAGTTTTCCTTTAAACAATTACCAAAAATTATACAACTTCAAACTGAATGAAAAAGAAGTCCCATTAGTATTTCACTTAAAGCAAATTAATTGAATTCACTTGGAAATATTGAAATCTATTTGACAATCTTAAAATTTTACTTCATATCATATTAAAATATTCCTTAAATTGCCGTCAAAAAAAAGATATCGAAGGTAAGTTTCTAAAAATACCATCTACATTCAAAAGCAGATAGTAGCAGTCTCTGACAAAAATATTAGAAATATATCCTAAATCCTGTGAATGTTTAAGTTTTGGTTGCACTTGCCTAGCTTTAAATATAGACCTTGCAGTATTATAGTATTGTTAAATCGCGGAAATTATAATTCAAAGCACTAAAACAGAGAGACTACCAATAGTCAATTACTTATAGTCCAGTTAGACTGCACATGTATACAGGCAAGCTTGACTATACTAGTCACATAGATTTGTAAAAATTGCTACTCATATGAAGGGTTGTACAAAACTTTGTCAATTACATTTCTATATACCTGCTCATGAAGCTTCTTCTGTCTTTCTTCTTCATCTTGTTTTCGTCTCTCTTCAGCCTCCTCCATCTTTTGTAATCTGTAAAAAGAAATTAAGACAAAAATTAAAAAAAAAAACACCAAAAAGACCCCAGCAAAAAACAACCTTGAAATGTTTATGTTTCACAAAAATCTCACTCATCTCCCCCACTTTTTTCAGGGTTATGGTCGAAATAACACTGTTAACACTTAACAGGGGTCATTAAGGTGACTTTTCAGCTTTATTTATGCAGGAGGACTTCAGGAGAAGTTTTATGTATGATTCTCAGCACAAGCACATGCTGACACTGCAGAATAAACTGCCTTGCATCAGCTTGCTGGATGGCCTACTCAAATGACAGATTCTGGAAGATCCTGGAAGTACTCAAACCCAAAACAGTTAAAGGCCAGGAATAGTCACATACCATAACCACTTAGTAATAGAAGCTTATTACTTAATGATTTAAAACACAAGTAAACTTCATACAACATTTACCTCATTTTTTGTTTTTCTTTATCTTCCTTGATCTTCTCTTCACGTAGTTTTTGCGTCTGCTGACGTTTTTCCATCAGACGTCGCTCAATCTGCATACGGTTTTCTTTCTCTTGACGCTGTCGCTGCTCTCGCATTTCTTGTACTTTCTTCATTTTCTCCTCACGCTTTCTGTAAAATTGTTGAAAAATCTTAATAAATCTATGTTTATTCAATCAAATCAGAGTGTAAGCTTCTTGTTTCTAAAAATGACTATTTAACACTGGTATGACAAGTGGAAAAGTGAGCCTTATCCAAAACAGTTTCAGTATTTCATCAGTTAAGCTCAGAAAAAGCATTGTTCATTAAACACAAAATAATGCCATTATCCTAAATCTATTGATAAATTAAGTTATGAAGAACTTTTTAATCTAGAAATTAGTTTTAAACATTACAGTATTCAGAAAGATGTTAGTTTATAAAAGTTTTGGCAAAGCATATTGTCTTGCAGACAGGTATATCCATATCTAGAGCCAGACGAAAACAAAAACTATATACCCACTTAAAAAAAAAAATCTTACATATGCTCTAAACTGATTTCAATACTTTCAAATATTATTATAAAGGGAAAACAATCTTCATTCGTACAAATATCAATTCATAAATTAAGGTTAAGGTTTATAACAGTCTCTCACTTTCTCATTTCTTCCATTTTCCTGCTTTGCTCCTCTTCTCGTTTCTTTAATCGTTCCCTTTCTTTTCTTTCTTTCTCTGCAAGTTCTTGTTTTCTCTTTGCCTGAATCTCCTGCAAAATTATAAATCACCCGTCTATAACATAATACATACAGTAAATAAATGATACCTAATTGTATTACCCCTTAACAGTCATATGTCTTTGCTATCAGTGTAGAGTCAGGCCAGCTTGCACTTTCCTAAAGTCTAACAAGACTCTGTACTATCATTTTGGCTTACACACTTTTCAATTTTGATATCCCCAAACTAATAATGAATCGTTGATGAACCATTTTCATTTAGGCAATCCATCAGGAGGAATAAGATCTCTCATGGAAGTTTTAAATATTGAAATCATTTGAGAAGAACTCTCCTTAGCAGTCAAGATCCTTTCCTTTTATCAGAGCCAACTAACAGAAAAAATTGCTAAAATTTGATGAAAAACAATTTTTTGTTTGTGAATTGCTATTTTTTAATTATGTAAGAATGTTATCACATGAAGTCGTTTCAATCAGTCTTTCTTTATTCTTTCTTCATTTGTATGATATACATGTACTAACAGTACTAATATTTTGATGACAAAATGGTTGTGTTAACCATTTCCTGGTTAATTTTACTCTTCACAATTACTCATCTATATGAGCTTCACGGAGATGCAAGCTCAAAAATTGAACTTGGGAGTTTGTCTCCTGTAACTTACCAGAGCTGGTGCCATATGATAAAATATGCTCATGTAAAGTAGGGCCCAAACTCATGATCTCTCCGTTTTTTTGCAAGATATTGTTACCACCAGACTATCACTCCATTATATGGACCATATATAATTTCTCTCTTCGTGAAATTGAACTTAGTAAGTAACCTGATATAAATTTCCCCTAAAGAGTTACCATGACTATTGTACTTACTGAAAGTGTGGGTTTAGGCGCTGGACTATTTCTTACTAGGAATGATTTCACTAAACCACCAGTGTTTAAGTTGGCTGGCCGAATCGGATTGTGTGAGTTCTTGTTCAAAGAGTTCAGGAAAGATGGTACTGGGCGAACAACCTTGTTTGACGGGCATACAGGAGAGGTAACTTCATCTTCACTTGACCTGGTTAAATATAGAAACATATTTTACACCAACATATACGATAAATACAACTATAAGTGCAATATATCACAAAATGAAAATTCACCCCGTTAGCTCTTATTTTTAATACATTGCTGTTATGAATTTTACATTTTAAGAAAAAAATGTAGTTTGAAAAAAGGATAACATATACCATTAAAGAATAACACCACTAGGTGCTGAAAAACAAACAAAAATTGTGAGATACAAAACAAAACACACAAAAAAAACTAGAAATGTGTCCATAGGACATGGGTGCCCCCACCGCCCCACTGTTCTGTCAATCTTATGACTCTAGGTCAAATATTTTTTGAAAACTAAAAATCTTTTACTAAGTAAAGGGCAAGATTTTTAACAAATACTGCTTTAAATCCACAAGCAAACAGTACAAATGCATTGACGCAACATTTTTGTAAACTTTCAGGCCTACAAGTGCAATCTTTTTTTGAGTATGCATGAAAAGTTGGAAAATTGTAAATTTTACTACTGTAACAAGGGCAATAACTCTAACAAAACTGAAAAAATCCACAGCAAAAGCTCCCAGGTCCATTCTAAGCTTCACAGTGATGAATCATTATTCCTTTAATTTTGATGTTGATACAATTATTCCTGTAAAAGTTGGGTGATTTAACCTCAAGCACTCGAGGAAACAAATAACAAAACATAATGAAACGTTTTTTACTAAAGTCAAGGGCAATAACTCTACAAAAACTGGATTAAATCCACAAGCGAAACCCCAGGTGCAAAGCTAAATATGCTGAGCAACCTTCCCATAAGGCTTAATGACTCTATGTCAAATCCTTTTTGAGTTACATGCGACACAAGTTGAAAATTGCAAAAATTTCTAAGTCAAGGGCAAAAACTCTAAAAATACTAAATAAATCCAGACAAAAATACCCAGGTGTACAACTACACATGCTGATCAACATTCCTGTAAAGTTTCATGACTCTAGGTCAAATACTTTTTGAGTTACATGCGACACAAGTTGAAAATTGCAAAATTTTACTAAGTCAAGGGCAATAACTCTAAAAATACTAAAAAAATCCAAACGAAAATACCCAGGTGCACAACTACACATGCTGATCAACATTCCTGTAAAGTTTCATGCCTCTAGGTCAAATACTTTTTGAGTTACGTGCAACACAAAAGAGAACGGACGGACGGATGGACAGACAAGGGTAAATCTAAATGCCCGCCACTAAAGTGTAGGTACAAAAAACTTGCAAGATACAAAAACAGAAAGAAGCAACAAGACTTGACTTACTGCTCATCAGCTGACATTTTATTATGCCCGGTATCAACTGAAGAATTAGATGTGCATGAACGTTTAGGTCGACTCTGTTCTGCTTCGGACTCTTCTTCATGCTGACGTTTACGAGTCTTTGTTCTGTGGCGATAAAATGTTAGCGGTATATTCCACAATTTTTACAACAAATTGAATTCATGTTAACAGTTTTACAAAGTTTAAGATATGAGCCGCATCATGACAAAACCAACATAATGGGTTTGCGACCAGCATGGATCCAGACCAGCCTGCGCATCCGCGCAGTCTGATCAGGATCCATGTTGTTCGCTATTAGTTTCTCTACTTGTTAAATGGTCTGTAAGCGAACAGCATGATCCTGATCAGACTGCGCAGATGCACAGGCTGGTCTGGATCCATGCTGGTCGCAAACCCATTATGTTGGATTTGTCGTGACGCGGCTCATATCAAGATTTGAATGAAATATTTGGACCTGATGACAAAACATGTTGAAAATCACTGTTACAAAACAAACTATTCATATTTCGTACCAAAACTTGTTTAATGGTGAGAATTTAAATCATTTTTGAAAGTGTACCAGTTAGCTGACTGGTAATGTTTTGATTGATATATTTTCCTTTAACAGGTTTTCAAAATTGTATGTGATAAAGCTGGACTGTTTCATATTATTCCAATGGATAATAAAATACTAGTAACAAATTCATTATTACATACATATGCAAGTTTATTTATATTCACTGATAATTTCCAAAATAAATCATTAAATCCAAAGTTTAAAAGTACAGAATAATTACCGTGTGACCCTAGTAACTGCTGGACTAGCCATAGCACTATCTGACCCCGTCACCTCCATCTGCTCTTTAGGCTTACGGATCTTAGATCTGGTTACACGTGGTGTCCCATCACCATCCACAGAACTTGAACTGCCTCCTAAACCTGGAATTGGTGAATCTGTTAGAACATTTCAAACCAGTAATGAATCATTTAGTCGAGGAAAATTAATCAAAGGTCATTGGTAAAACAATATGATGAGTAAAATATAGAACATCAGGGTTTTCATTATTAACAGATTGGCGATTAATATCATTGGTTAAAATGCTTTTTTATTCTGTTGTATTTTTAGCCTGATTTTTAAAATATCCTCCTTGACCTCTGGCCAATTTGGTTGGTTTAATTAGCACAGCTGTTTGTTCCAATATAAATGAAAACACTGGTAGTAAACAAGATGGTGACTGTTTTATTTATAAATGTTCCCAATTTTTAAACAACATTACATGGGTGCAAGTTAAAATTATCAGAAAACCTGAAAATCCTAAATTTAGCATTAATTCAACTGGTTTTATACAGAAAATAGTGCTTTTAAGAGAAGAAAAAAACTGAACTTCAGGCAAACGCATGAATACTTGTACCCATGACATTAGCAAAGTGTCAATTGATACATAAATACTCTTTTTTTTTAAAATTCAAATGCTCATGAAATTTAATGCAGAGCAACAGATAAGCTTTAAAAGTGAATTGGGTATTACTCCATCATTTCCTTTGGAATTGGGTATTGGCTCCATTTAATTGGGTATTCCCAAACTCGATACCCTATGATTTCAAGATCAATTGGGTATTCAATTATGAAGATATGAATTTTATGGTTTCAATATCAATAAAATTAAAACTGTTTTATAAAGAAAATATAATAAACAATTTACTAGAACTTTTCACAATTGTTTTATTTTTTTATATAAAATGCTCATGTTATATTTCAAAATATTTTTAACATGTTCGTTTTCTGACTGACGACTGTTTTGTTTCAAATCATTTTCCCTTTTGTACGACGCCATATTGCCTTCAAAGCGTCTATTGATACAGCTGGGACCTACTTAATGACGGTCTCCGCAAAATCAACGGTCTCTTAAGACCGTCGACCTGAGTAGACAAATTGACGGTCTTAGCTTAATTGATATGGCTTAGTCGGTCTTTGGAGACCGGGACCATCGAAGACCGGAGACCGTTGATTAGTTAGCATTGATTCGGAAATATTCGGATAGCATGCATATCGATATAATTTGTCCAAAACTACGAGCGAACGACAGATTAATTTTGCGGTGGTGAAAATGACAATACGCACGGGTTTTTAAGACAATTATTTTATTTTTTTCAATGGGTTTTGATACGCATTCTTAAAAAATCAATTGCGTATTTTATCAAATTAATTGCGTAAATACGCAAATACGCACCTTATCTGTTGCTCTGTTAATGTATAGCTACACATGAACAAAAATATAACAAACAAAAATTTGGGTCCTTTAAGTTCTTCAAATTTAATATATTCAATTACCTGAATCTTTACTAGACACTATATCAACCTGTTGATTTTGGGCCTGTCGGGTTTTTGTTCTTGTAGACCTAACAACCTTAGGTGGTGTTTGCATTGGCTCTTCAGGCTCTGTGTTGTCGTCAGATTCTGAAGACTCATGTTTCCTTGACTGACTAGAGTTACGAGACATCTGTTTATCATTCTCCTCTTTCCTAGTTAGACTTCTGGTCTTCCTGCATATACATACAAATTTGATTACGCTACCTAATGGAATCATTCCACTTATAAGACAAAAGCAGGGCTGGCAAAATCTCAGAAAATTGTACTTGTACGTAGCCAAGTAACTTACAAAACTTTGAATTGTTTATTAGCAAAAAAACTAGATTTTTTTCTTTTAGCAGCAGAAATTTCACATGTAAAATGCGGAATTTTACTTGCCCTGACCTACAAAAGTACAACCTTGGCAACTCAGAAATTGATATTGTCGGCCCTGCAAAACTGTATATTTAGCAAATACATGGTTGATCTACAAATCTTCTCTGTTACACACTATGAGGTTAATACACGGCAGGAGAGGGCCGGAAGGTGATAATCGGCCCGCAAAATGAATAATGGACCCGAGGGCTTTAGCCCGAGGGTCATTATTCATTCAGGGCCGATTATCACCTTCCGGCCCCACGCTGACGTGTATTAATGTCTTTAATACACTTGGTAGATCTAATAGTAGCATTAAAAAAAATCAAAACAAAATTTAATAGACTTTGAAGTTCTTTCCTTGAAATTCTTGTCTACTCTTCTACTGTTCTGTACAGAGATGTTTACTGTTTGTGTGTCCAGAGCAGTAGAATCAAGAAGCAAGTTTTATTTTCATTTTTTTCGGAAAGAATTTCTTCAAATTTCAAAAGTAACAAAAATGTGTTTGTACTAAATACGCTTAAGCTCTCATAATAAAAATAAATCGATTCGTGCTGACAACCTACTTTCACTTTTACAGTTAACTGTTTGATGACGTAAAATATGACGTCATTGTTTCAGTTTGTGCACGTGCACATGTTCTGCGGGCTGATAACTAGTTCTCGGCCCCGGGCCGCAAACTCATAATAGGTCACGTGACACTCATAATCAGTTGAAATCATAGGCAATTTTGTTACTTTATATAGTAACAAGTGTATTAATATTGCTTAACACACAGAGAACAGGGCATCTATAAAGTTTCAAAATTTTGAAGTCAGAAACTGCAAAATCTCTTGATATTGGAAGTCACATTGTATAAGTAAAGAAGGAAAAGTTTAAAATTTTTGAACTCACAAACCAAAGTCATGGAGTAAATGACTCCCAAACTTCTATAAACGGAAGCCCTGAGAGAAGCAGCTGGTCTTTCTCTTAACCAACAAAAACTAGGATTTACAACATTGACTTAACAACATTTTCCACATATATTTGGAAAAAGTATCTTAGCAATTAATAACTATCTGAGATGCTTTAGTAACTTATTTGGGGCAAACATTGACTAGGTTACCTTAGCAATGAATAACAGGAATTGATAAGTTGTTTTTCTTGTGTGATTTTCCACTAGTTTGAAAGTAACATTTCTATGATTAGGTAAAATATATAAACTTTGTATTGTTTGCAATTAGGAACTGGCCGGATAGGCCTAATACTATCCGCAAGATAGGTGAAAAATGACCCAATGACAGACACAGTCATATCAACATGCAACCTAAATACTGATGACCCTGATAATAAAGTACTATCTTTAACCAAGTATCAATATTTCAAATATAAATGAAAAATACCTTGTTTTCTGTGGAGAGCTGGATGTTTTTTCCTCTTCCTGGCTATCAGTCTCCATTTGATCATCTGATGTAACAGATGAGGCTGTCTCCTGACCACTTTCCGTCTATAAAAAGAGAAAACATTTTATTATGAGTCCCTGTGTTTCACAGATGAAATTCAATAGAAGTTTAATTTAAATTATTGTACTAAAATAACAATGTTGAGTATTTTGATTGTTTTTGTTGCCCCAACACTGGAAAGGTCTAATGCCAACTTTCAAGGAAAATAACTACTTCACTCCCAAATGAATGCAGTACAAACGTCATACTATACCTAAATCTAAATTTGTGTTTCATGAATTTTACATTGGAACAGTCAAGTGTAACTCAAGATATTTAAATCAAAATACTTAAGTTGTGCCTGGTCAGAATGTCTCAGTACTGGCAATCAATGCCCATTATCTTAACCACAAGCAAATATAGTAACGAATAGCGAGTAAAGCACTGATCAAAGAATGACAGTACAATTCCTCATCTTTCTTACATCTTCTGGTTTCTGTTCTTTCTTTTTCAATCTCAGTCGAGTTCTTGCTCTAGTTGGTTTGGATTCCCGTTGCTGTAAAAACAACATAACAATTAATCACAATAAGCAATTATCTCTTCTTTATATCATGTAAATTACTTTTAAAAACCAAAAAAAATTCACAAGTCAACTTCTGTATGCATAACAAATTCATAAATCAGTGCTTTACTAAAAGATTAAAGAGCCATGCAGATATTTTACAAAGGTAAATAATTCAATGAAAATCCACAAATTAAAGTTAAGTCCTGGTCAGTGAGCCTGAAAAGTTAGCACTTTCAAGGGGCAAATAAAAAATATTATGATACATGAAAAACATAGACAAAAGGTTACATTATAATGAATTTTACCTCTGCATGTAAAGCCTGTATCTTCGTCATAGAAGGCAGTGTCTTTAGAGATTTACTGACAGAAAGTCTCTTGCTCAACCGCATATTCTGTTTCTTTTTCAAAGACCCGTTTACACTTGCACTTGGGCTATCTGGTTCATCTTCAATGTCATCCACTATAGATGACCCTGAACTTAATTTCTTTGTATTCACAACAGTGTCTGGAGTTTTTTTAGATATGGTTGCATTTTGGGGTGTTCTTTGAGACGGTGGTGTTTCTACTGATAAACTGTTCCTAGGTGAAGCGGAGTATGTCCTTTTATTTGTTGTGGTCATAGGACTTATTAAATAATTTTCTTCATTGGCATTGCACATTTCTCTTACTTCATTGAATTAAATATTGTATGGAGCTTGTTTATTTCGTTACTTTTATTCTTAATCCTTCACCTAATAAGCCTCTGGTGGCCTTAAGTTTTCGTTCAGCTGGTTAAACCCAGGCTCTACTAAAATTTCATGTATTAGGTCATTAAGCTGTTTTCTTTAGTTGACGGAGATGCTCCATCGAGAGAATCTTTGACTGATGGCGTTTTTGTAACTGATTTAGGTGAAGCGCTTGTTTTTGTTGGAGGTTTGATTGTCTTGCTTGCTGACTGAATCCAAGTCTCAGTCACCGTCTCGCAGTATTCTGAAACGTAGTAAATCTTCACTGCTGGGGTATTTTATATCTCTGTGTTCTAGATACAGGGTGTTTAATAGGTAGCTCTACTCAGTTGAAGTTAATGATACACGTTGGTTTCATAACTTAAGCACTGTGTTCTGACTTTGTTTTTCCTTGTCTGTGTTCGATATTTCGTGGCACGGGACGTAGGTAGCATCCCTGGGATGTTTGCTCTGGTTTTCCTGACCAGTAGGGGATTTCTCAACAATTGCTGTTCAAAATTGAAGAAAAAAAAATACATTTATTGACATTCTTACAATCTAGCATTTTCTTAAATATATTTGACTATTTACAAACAATGATACCAAATGTTTAATGTAATTTTAATAGAACTTTAACTATTCGCATTAATACAACTATAAAATAAATGAGAGATTATTGACAGACTTTTGATTGTAGCACATTTACATCAAAATTGAATTTGTGAATTCCAAGATTCTACACAAAAATGAGTTTTCCCAAGTGATTGAGTTTAATTGTACATACTGCAAACATGACTTAATGCTTTAGTTCATTAATAAAACAAAAATCAGTGAATGGATAGAACAACAACCTTTGGTAAACTGCTTTTAAAAAATGTGCGCACTGAATGGAAAAAATTATCCAATAATCCCCACCTAATATCAGAGTTCTCTAACAATGAATAGGAAAGTTAACTATAAACAGTAAAAACAATAATAAAGAAAATTAACTTTAACAAAAGGAACTAAAATATTCACTAACGACTATATAGTGATCTTAAAACAAAGAGCTACTGAACTGAGTACAGCAACTTTCTGAACCTTCCACGAAAGAGGAGTATTGGGGATGAATAGGAAAAACTTGGCAATAAAAAAAATTACACATCATTGAAATTGTTAAACTTCAAATACTATAAAATCTCCAGTAGAATATATTTTTAAAGCAACTAGACCCTATCTCATACCTAACTTTAGTTTGAATGTTCTATATATCAAAAATCCTTCGCTGTGTCTGATGACAAGCAGCTTGAACACGCTTCGTGTTAGTTTTGATGCTTGAGGTTTTCTGAAAATAATTCAGAATTGTTTGTGTACATCTTTAACATAGTAAGTAGTGTACTGGTCATATATACCTATAATTAAATATTACATCTAAAAAAAAAAATTCTAAAACCTTACCTTTAAACATCATCACTAACTTGTATTAAAAAGAACCTTAATAAAATGTCTTGTTTCTGCAACAGTAGACAGACTAATTAATGATGTGGACTTCAAATAACTAAATTTATATACCTAAAGTACAACTAAAACAATCAAACACATCTCTCTAAGTTATCATACAAATGCACCAGGCCAAATATCAGATTTTTCTGTAATAATATCATATTAAATTAATACTTTAACCAGCATACTCACTCTTTTTCTTGTGGAGCTACATAATCATCTTCATCTTCTTCAACCTGTAGCTTTCTACGTGAAGTCTGGTTAGACTTCTTTTTTTGTCTACCCTTTCGTTTCGCTGATGGAGTCTTTGGCAAGAGACCTACATTATCTGACCTGATAAAAATAAGTCAAGGTTAGTATTATTACTCTATACAAATTTTTTAATTTATATGTCAAGGTTAGTATATACAAATTTTTTAATTAATAAACTTTCTTTAATCTTATTTGACACAAGAGAAACACAAACTCAATGAGGCAATGAAAACTTGTTCCAGATGACTAAATTTTTGATAGTGCAGCAGGTTTTCTTGATAATCTTTGACTCTAGTTCTTAGATTGAAGCAATACAACATATCATAGATCTTTTGTGATTATATATGACCTTTCAACTACAAGTAAAACACTAATTCTTATGTCATAAGTAACAATTTTCTTACTGATTAAAAACTTTTCTAGCATCCTCCAAAACTTCGTCCATCCAAGTTAAAAAGGATTCCTCAAGAGCACGTATTTTTTCAAAAACTTTTTTGTTTATAGTGGCTACCTCGTTGTAAAACAAGGGACTTTCAAGTTGTAGTAGTTTATCCATGTTTATGTCTGAAAAGAGAAGGTATAAAAGATATGTAAAGAAATTTAACAAAAACCAAGAATGTGTCTCCAAGTGCCTCCAGCCCAAATTCTTGTCAGTAACAAGTTTTCCAAAATGGTTTCCCAATTCATTCAGTGTAACAGGGTTCTCTCTAGGATTTTCAAAATAAGCCTTGGAACTCCAAAGCTAGAAAACAGGACTCGACATTAACGGTTCACCGTTGTCCTACTGCCCTGGACAACTAAAAGTTTGGTCCGGGCAAGTTATTTTGAAAAGCACTTGTCCGACTGGGCAAGTGAAAATAATAATCGTCATTGACAAAATCGCATGTACAAAATAGAAAAAAACATCTTTTCATTTAAAAACATCTTTAAAACAAAAATCAGTGTTTTCTCTCTCTTTATTGGGAAGAGGCCTTAGCCTTTTGATTTTGGGAAAAATTATCGCTTAAACTGCTGATGTGGGAAGTAAAAAAGCTGGTTTAAGTTCAGATTTTTGGGAAAACTGCATGATTTTAAAGAAAATTTCAATTCAATGGGAAGAAGCCTTTTTTCGGAGTCTGTTATATAAGTAGAAAAATCACTGAAAATACACCATGAATCTTTATTAATAATGTGAATAAACTACGGTCATGTACATTTATTGATATAGAAAGAAGAAAAAATATGAGCATGTGCCGCAGTAAGGTAATTCCCCGTTCTAATAATAGACTATATTTAATTTTGTACAAGGTAATTCCCAGGTCATGCTTTCGTTTTAATTTTGATGTGTGCATGTAAAGATATCATTGAAAATATGTATCTTTAAATATAATTGTTAAATAAAGTTTTTGCATTAAAAATGATTTATTGTTTCATCTAATATAACAACATTATGAACGTAGTCAACGAAGACTCGTTTACGGCTGTTGACATCAATTCGTCGTCTGAAAAATATAAATGGCCTTATTCAAACTTGGTTATTCATCGTCTAAAGACGACAATGATGGGACAGGGAAGGAAAATAAGGGCCATGAAGAGACAAAAAAGAAACGAAAACGGGGATATGTTCCAAAATGGCTAGAAGAATTTGAGTGGTTAAAATACTACGAAGCGTCGTCTTCTATGCTAATAGAACATCTAATTTTGTGACTGGTTGTAAAACAATTCGGGTGATGTCTATTAAAAGTCATGAAAAAAGTTCTCTTTATACTTCCTGTGTTAAAAAACTAGAGGTGCGCGGTTTAACCGGTAAACCACGGTCTGAGACATCTGCCGTACGTACCGCCTTACAGACCTGGAAAACCGGTACTTTTAGCTTTAATTTAAAGCAATTGTAAAATGTACTAAATGAAATCATTTTCTGTTGTATATAAAAATATTTTTTTGAATTAACCTTTTTTTGTAAATAACTTTCGCCTACTTTTATCATTCCCAGAAACAGTAGTTATAAGCAAAAATTGTGTGCTTTATCATTTTACCCAATGTAAGACAGAATTGTCGAATTGCTTAATCATGTTGAAAGAAGCAAGAACCTTTGCCTTAGGGCTGTAACGAACATCCAAACTCTTGGTACATCGCGAATGTGTTATGAATTTGGGACGCGAATATTCACGTCCATTTGTATCGCCAGATTCGCAATTTTTTTTGTAATTATAACTGAAAGAGAAATTCTTATATAGGTCTTGCTTTAATCCTATATTATTAAGCTATAAAATATATCTTTTTAAGATAATCAGCGTATTTTCATAGCGTATCCGAAACGTGTTGTATATCCGAAAGTAAACATCTACGGTAAAGCTAGCAACAAGAAGTTTCGCTTTAACTTCAACACAAGAAAAATTACCGATAATGAAATAATAGTATTAATGTTTATTAATTTTGCACCGTTAGTTTATAAAGGCAACGAATATCTAATTCTATAAATTCATTAATTGAATTTAAAAAGTATTAATACGATGACGCTAAACACGATATGGTAAGTAATGGCAGCTAATTTGTAAACAAACACTTTACTTTATAAATGAAGTGTAAGAAATTAGGATTTGAATAGACTAGGCTGGTAGGACAACCAGATTGGAATATTCACTAGCCCAAAAGACATTTCACTAGCATGATTCATTTGTTCAAAACAGTTGTTTATATTGCCTCTGAAAAATAAGTAGCCTGATCGGGCTTGTTACTGTGAAAAGTTTGTAGCCCAAGGAGAAATTTAGAAGTCTTGGGCTATAGGACTTCTGCTAATTTCGAACACTGTAAATGACAGTAGGTCTTACATACTATCTAGCCAGTTATAATTTTGAAACGGCTCTTGTTTCTTGTTATTGAGATTTTATAACATGTTCTGTGAAACTTTACCCGATCTTTTTGTAACATATGATAGTTTGACATGAAACATTTTAATATTTAATCATCCAGGCATTTACTGGTGTGTTGCAAACCGATTTGCGTATTGCTCCTCTTTAGCCCCTCTGTATCGTGAATCGTATCGCCTGTACCTGAAATACACAGCCTATTTGACTTACTTCTACTTACCCCCAAAGATCCGTAACTTAAAGTGTAATACTTAAAGATTTGACCTTGCCGCGAGTTGATCATAGGGCAGAGTTCACCCTTTTACCAAATCCTAGACCTGTTAAAGAAAAATGTGTAATTTTGGCAAAATTTTACCGTTGTTGATGTAGCTTTTTGAAGAGAAAGTTACTTTAATCTGTAAAATTATTGGGCATGTACAAAATAATGCTGGTCAATATCTTTCAAGTCTTTAACAACAATTTCTCTTTGAGAAATAAAACAAAATTT